CAGCAGGAAAAGGCAGATTTAGCAAATTCTGCTTGCCCTCCATCCTGCCCGCTGCCGTGTGCCAGCACCAGAACCCTCCCCGGGCCTATGCCAGGCCTCCCCAGCACGGAGAGAACAGCTCAAAGGGCTCCAGTTGAACAGCGACTGATTACGGCCGGTGGTCTCAGAGGGGGTAATACGGGGGTGACAGAACACAGCTGAGCCGAGGCCGACGTAGCTATTCCGTTGGGAGGAGGGAAGGTGCCTAGAGATTGCCAATCCTTTGCCTCCTCTTTGGAGAATTTCCAAAATGCAACCAGACTGGGATTGTTTGATGTAGCTAAGGGCTAAAGAAAGGGAACACATGGTTTTTAACCAAAACACATAGGGAAAGGAAAATGGAAAACCTTTTAATGAACCTACAGGATTCGGTCAAATTCACAGGCATACAAACCAGAAATATTTCTCTGAATCAGTCATGATCTGCATATAAAAAGAGAGGAGCTGGAGGAGTCCAGGAGGGGCTTCAGTTGGAGGGAGGCGGCGGGGGGATAGTGCCTGGCCCCTCCGTGGGGAGAGGTGGCCTCATCATGGGGGGCAGAGGAGCAGGGGGAGGTACACCGGGCGCTGGTGGCAACTGAGGTGGCACGGGAGGTGGTGGCACTGGTCCAGAGGGAGGCATGGGAGGCAGAGTCATGCCCCCCGGAGGAGGTGGGGGCATGGAGTCCGGCAGGGGCGGCCTTGGGGGCAGGCCGTTCATCAGCGGGGGTGGAGGAGGCCGCTTCACAGTCGGGGGCCCTGGAGGGAGGTTGGGGGGAGCTGGGGGCTTCTCCATCTTGAAGTGGAATTGAAGGAAGAACTGGAGAGAGGAGAAAAGCAAAGAGAAGGGAACAGTTAATCCTCGGGACAACTTTGTGCCATCAGCTCCGTCCACGCTGTCCCCGGGCGCACAGCTCGGAGCTCTCCTGCCCTGCCACCTCCCCCGCCCACGCCCGCCCTTCCACCCTGGCAGCACCCACGACTCGCACCAGTGCTGTCCGAGCACTTCAACTCCTCTGACACTGGTTCCAAGCGCTAAGCTGCCCGTGACGGGGTCGGTGTCCCCCGCCACGCCTTCGTCCCCTGCTCCCACACACGAGACCCGGCAAATCCGTCCGTGCCCCGGGCAGGAGACACACAGCGAGGAGCCCCAGAGGGGACACGGGGCGGGGGACATTCACGCACCCTGCTGCTGCCAGCACCCCAGGGGTCTGCCCCCCGGGCTCAGCTCTCACCAAGATCACGCACACGAAGAGCTTTCTGGCAGGAGGAGCCACCACGCAGCGGCACTCCAGGAATGAGGAGTTCAGCGCCAAAGCCAGCACGGGGATCGCCGACGGGCATCCCCCCTGCCTTGCCTTCCCCCCGGGCTGCTCTGCCCTCCTGCTCCCCCGCCAGCCCTCACTGTTGCAGGGCTCCAGTACCTGTTTGGTCTCCCTGTTCCAGTGGGTCCAAAACTTTCCTTCTGCTTTGTCGATTTCTCTGCTCGGCACCTGCAACAAGAGCAAACGAGGAGCTATTATTAGCACCACCAGATTAGCTCAACGGCCCTTTTTAGCACCAAAGCCTGCAAGATAAGCACAGTTATTCCAGGCCCTCGTGAGATGCGCCAGTCTCGGATGTTATTAGATAGAGACGGGGGCAGGAAAGAATTAAAGTTACTTCCCTATCGGTCAAGGACAAGCGTGCTGGCCAAAACCCCCCTCAACATCTGCACGAAGGCTGAGGAGCAAAGCCCAGGAGGCTCCTTCCTGTGCCAGACACTGAGCAGTCAGTGGCTCCCCAGGGCTCAGCACACGGCCCAGTTTCCACGCCAGAGTCCTCCACCAACTCTCCGCAGGGTTTAATGACTTCCAGTCGTGTCTTCTCGACCCCCCTTCCCACTCCAGGAAGCGGAACCAAGTCTGTAGTAACGTGCAGTGGGAAGGAATGTCTTGGCAAACACAGGAAGGGAGCTCTCCCAAGGACCAGTTCCTCCCAAACTCTCCCAAGGACCAGTTCCTCCCAAACTCTCCCAACGACCAGTTCCTCCCAAACTCTCCCAACGACCAGTTCCTCCCAAACTCTCCCAACGACCAGTTCCTCCCAAGCCTACCTTGAAGGCGATGGTTTCATAGGGCTCCGCTGCCATCAGCAGGTACTGCCAGCGCCTGTCCGGGGGCTCAATCCTCTGCTCGTAGGCCGACATGAACCGGTGCCGAGGCATGATGCTCTCTGCGATCTCCGGATAATCAATCTGGGGGGAGGTGTGGCAGCATGGAGGAGAACATCCCCTTTTCCCTCCCGCTTCGTACAGAACAAACGCCTCAGCTACGGAGCGCACCGAGAGGTCAGTTCCCAACAGAACACTTGGTGCCACCAAAGGGGACAACTTGACGGCTACGACCGTGGGTTTGCAGAGGACTAGGAAGGTGAAGGCCTATTTTTTTTTTTTTTTAAATTGTTTATTTCTGAATCCTGCAAAGAACTGTTCACTTAACAGCACTTTCACTTGGATAACCCAGACACAAAGCATTTTAGCAGCGCCCTTACCTGGAAGAGAAGGCTCTGCTGGCCCGTTTCTGGATCTCTCTGTTTGGTCACTGTAAGAAAACACAAAAGCTCAGCACGTCCCATCGCAGGGTTAGAGCCACGTTCTTTCTGCCCAAGGAAACACACAAGATTTTTCTCCCATTTAGCAAATGGAACGCCACATGGTCTTTAACCGAAGATGCTAACGATCTCTGCCGAAAACCAGCTGCTGTGGGGCAAAGACTGGGCAGGGCAGAGCCGGGAGATAAAGCAGCCAAGCTGTGGACCGAAGGCCGAAACAGAACGAGGAGTTCAGAGGAAAAACCTGAGCGCTGAGTGACTGATGAGCCTCAGTGAAAGACGGCAGAGCACAACAAAGGAGGGACCAAAACAACGTCATCGGCTCCTGCACGGCTCCTAACGGGAGCTGAGAGACTGAGAGACACCAACCTGGTATTAACATGGTTCTCACTCAACTGTCAGCAATGAAGAGATGTTCCACGGGTAATTTAAACAACAAAGGACATCAGGAGAGAAGCCCCTATCTCATTCACGGCCAGATCTGCTAAAAGGACCGATTAACCATTCCCACCCGCAGCCCCCGGGCCCCGGCAGAGACGTCCCCACGCACCTTTGTAACCCGGCCGGCCGATTTTCACAAATTTCTTCACTTCCACTTTGACCTTTTCCGGCGCGGGCTGGGCGGGGGCTTCCTTCGCCTCCTTGGCAGCTCGCCGGGCCCTGGGTTAATTTGGAGAGGTGAGCCCCGCTCGGCTCCGGAGGCGCCAGGAGCCGCCGGAACCCGCCACCAGGGACGATTCATGCAGGAAGCCCGCCAGGAAAACCCGCTGGTTCTCTTCCCCACGCACCCCCTGTATCCACCTGCCTGGCTAAAGGCTGTCATCTCCCTTATCTTCTCCTCCCCCGAGGTGACCTTGGTGCCCGTCTCCCCAGACGGATCTGAGAAGCTTTCCTTCTCGAAATAAAAACCGCCCCCGCCAGCTACCCATCGACACCAAGGCAAACTGGATTTCTTAAAATAAACCCACAAACTTCTCCCACCCTGTCTCCACAACACCAGGTCCCTCTAACCAGACGCAGACCCTTTGCTTTTAAAACTCTTCCTCCCCCTTCCCTTCAGAAATCCCACAACTGGCTTTGAACGTCAGCTCCAAAGGGGGCTTGTCAGCACCAGCTCCTGTCTGGAGCAGGTCTGGTCTGAACCTCCTGGCGAGTGCCAGGCTGCTCACCAGGAGACAAAGCCAGTGAAGGAACATTCTAGCACAGCGTAACGGCGGTCAGGGTTCATGGGTTACACCATCATCGCTCTAAAGTGCTCTGGTAACGGAGGATAAAGCTACCGTGGAGGATGACTTACAAATTGGTCTGATGCTTCTTGCCCTGGGTATGTGCTAAGTAACTTCCCTGCAATAAAACACAAGGTAGAAGGAAGTCAAACGAAGACTGAAAGATACTTGTCACAGAGGAGAGACCATATCACAGGCTGACAAGGATATTTTAATCCTTAGCAGAGAGGAATCTCACGCAAAAAACGCTCTTGATTGCTGAACTGTCACAAACTGTCAGGCTCTACACACCCGAGCCACCTCCCACCCCCGAGCCCTCCAGCAGTCACTCACCAGGCACGGCCCAGGTTCCTGCACCTGAAGCTACAACTATTCTAAACCACAACAGGCGGCTGCTCGACTCACCTCATTGTTGTGCAGCGTCAGGCAAAGCTTGCACTCGTAAGAGCCCAAGTGATTTTTCATAAAATAAGGGTCCTAGGAAGAGAAGTGTTAAAAAGTTACAAGCAAAACACGGGGCAAAAGGGGACAATCCAAATCCTGCCGACCCCCTCCTGGGCTGGAAGAAGCGAGTTCGCAGCTGGGACTGAACAGCACGACGCTGCGTTGGGGCTGCGAGAGCAGAAGCTGCAGCAGCTTCGTTAACTGGTGACGGCCAAACCAGCAGAACACGAACCTGCACAGCCCAAAAAGAACGCGGTGACCCCACCTGAGCCCGCGCCTGCCGGCACCTCCCTGGCCAGCCCCGTCCCACAGGTTTCCCGTTCAATTCCCGCAGCACCACAAACACCAATATTTCGTTCCAACCCCCAACTCTCCGCTCAACCTCTGTTGGGCGCAGGCAAAGCTCAAAACTCATCCCCACAAGAGCCTGCAGGATGGGAGCCCCGTGTCCTCCCTCCCGCGCAGGCAGGGCCGAGGCTCACTTTGTTGATGTCGATGGTCTCCAAGGCCAGCTGCCGGAGCCTCTCCCGGCGGTCGCGGTTACTTTCCGAGGCGGAGGCTACGCCGCCGCTTCCGGTTTTACCCCCGGGACGATGCTGGAAATCCATGATGGGGATGTCTGTGCTTCAGCTACTGACGGAGAAAGTCTGGAAAAACAAGGAAAAGCACCGTGAGGGATAAGTAACGCTCCTCCTGGCCTGTAGTCAACACCACTACTTAGACCCGTCAGGGAGGACACGAGACGAGCACAGCCAGGCCCTGGACACTCGCCACACGACGCAATTTCAAACGAAGCAGGTCTTGTACCACTGACTCAGTAAGTTCAGCAGTAAAATGAGTAAAACTCCCCCCAGTCCCCCCAAACAGGAGCCCCCAACCCTCCACTTGGGAGAACGAACAGCTCCAGACCCGGCCGAGGCTCCTCTTCCCCACCAAGGCTCAGTGCTGCC